GACAAGGACAGTAGTCAATTAAAAGGCTTAATGGAGCTTTATTCGCAGCTTGGCTTACAGTTAACTGTGCATGTAAATGTAATTACATTCATTGACTGGCACTTGAGCTACATAACAATCCTGTTTCCTATAGAATCAGGAATCAACTATAGACACATATTTTAAGTTAGACAAAGCTAAGAGAGCTTGGACATTTCTCCGGTTAGAGAGCTAGCATCATGTTAACTCACACCAGGTGCCCTAAAAAACAGGTCTACCTATCATTACGGCCCATGACTTCTCTGGGGCAGAGGCCAGGAACAATCCTGACACCCACGCAGGTGCAGTCAAAAACCTATGTTTGACACACACTTAACAAGCTAACAAGCAAGGTGCAGTGAGCACAGACTCAAATAACTGCTTAGTAATCTACAGCTTATATAAAATACAATAGAAGTACAATTTCACTCACCAAAGCTGGAGCCCATACTTCTTGAACTGTCTGAAATCAAGCAAACAACAATCCAGATTATTTCTTAGAAGTTAACATTCAAATGAAAATCAACAGGAAGCAACAACTCGAGCATGGCTGAGAGGTCAGGTTCAGAAACTGAATAAGCTAAGGTTATACATAACACATGGGCTTGCTTCGCCTGCCACCACCTTTCACACACAGAGCCCAGCAATGGGTTGCATCAACTGTGTGTAAATTCAAACGTAGCCAACTTTTAAAGTAATCTCTAATTTAGGACGAGGGTTTGCACACCACTTACTTTAAAGGTGTTGCTGCAGCTCAGATAGTTCTTACATTGACAAGTTGCAGTTTAAATCTTACACCTAGCGCCTACTAGGTGAGAAGTCCTCTATGAAATACAGTTGGTCATGGTGTATTGTTTTGAAATGTTGGATAAGTTGGAGGATGAGGAGGAGACGAGGGTTTTACTGGCTGTTTGGTGTCGGCAGTGCGTCCCTGTGACAAATGACATCCCTCAGAAATGTATGATGACTGTTTTGTCCTTCTGCTTTTGTTTTCCATGAGCAGAGATAATTCAATATGTCCAACAATATGGTACTGTTAAATTGCCTTCTGTTATAGTTGATGATTTCATCACTCATATGTCACTGTTATTTCACACTAGCTGTAACTTAAGAGGTTGGGCTTTAGTTAGAAAATAATCATGGTGCTTTGTCGTACCTTTAATAATTTTTGGTCGCCTTTTGTGGATTAAAGGAAGTTTCCAGTAGTTATTTTAAGGTGTTTGTCCGTTTAGAAACATTCAGGCACGAGAGGCACTGTGACAAACACTGCATTAGGTAAAGTACTTTTCACTGATTGGTCATGTGACATTACAACGTAATTCTTGCGATAATACTTTGGTTAGTTTAGAAGTTAGGCTCTACTATTTAAGATCAATTACGTTCCCATGATGTAACCAAACAATAACACAACTTCAGTTACAAACTAACTAGTTTAAGCAAGGTTTCAGTTTGAACATTACACCCTAACATAAAACAGAACTTCTACATAGCCTGGCTTCAAGTTTTTTCTCAGTTTAAATGGGTATGTTTAATAAAACGTATTCTATGATACAGTCGTCATAAATAGAAACATGCGCTGAGGGGACATAAACCTGTCATTACAGGATGTAAACATGTTCACTGTAAAGTTTGGCTATCATCTACTGGCAAAGGACTTTTGGCACATCTTGTTGGCTTCATATTTTAGTGCCGGAGGTTGCTGATTGTCTGACTGACACTGCCTTTTGTTTATCTTTTTTTTTAACAGATGAAGTGATCTCATGGGTTTCCCCCTCTTTGATATAGCACTCCCCTCTTTTCAGGACTCATTGTGTGCCAGAAAGTAAAACAGAGATTGAAACATGCAAGCACATAATGTGAAAATGTACAACAACTACATACTCTTTTTGTAACTCCCATTTTCTTGATCTGCAGAAAATCTAACATTACATACAAATCTCAAATGAAGCTAGCTGTTTTGTTCCAGAATCCACAATTTATCTGGTTTTATGTGAAACTACATAATCCCTTATCTCTATCACAACACTGGAGAGCCATGTTTTGATTTAGAGTCTGGGGAAAATGATTGGGTGTTTGGGAAATGATTAAAAAGACCTTAGAGGCAGGCTTAAATATGTGTAACTGAACGTGTACAAAGCTTGAGTTCTTGACTACTGAAGTGCTTTGGTTTATAGAGAACCTGAGAAAGAAGATGCAGGCATCCTCTATGCAAACCCTTCTTTACAGCCTTGCCCATTAATATTTCCTTCTAATATCCTCTGAATGGTTTAAGATGATACTATTGAATGTGTATTTTCAAAATCAATTGTGAAACAATTTAAATGCAGGCAAGTACAAACATTTAACAGACAATATGTTATATAAGTTTAAAGTGTTCAATGTGTCCGGTCTTTGATTGGGTCTGCCCTTTGATGGCAACATAACTAGTGGCTTTTCTGGATTGGGTTCCCCCAAATTTTTGATCAGGTGGCATTTACATTCTTTTATGGGGAGCCAGGTTTTGAACCAGTGGTTTAAGAAATCAGTTGTAATGAACCAAGAGGTTAAAGGTCTATGAGCTCATTTTTAACCAACTGCACATGAATCCTGATGACTGGGGCATTTTGAGCCTTGGTAAAAGAAATGGTAGTACCACTTGAAAAATCTTTATATTAATACATGGTATTGCAACTTGAAAAGTATTTATAAGAATACATTTGTGATTTAAGTATGTCTATTTCGTCCTATCTGTATGTGGCTGCACTAAAAACTGCACTTGTGTACAGCTGTTACAAAGGCCTCCTGGTGTGTTAATGCTTGAGTTAACTGTCAAGCCAGATTTTTAAATTCTCAGCTGGCTTCAGTAAAAGTCTCATCATGTGAAGGTGTTTCTTTAACAGAGGAGGACGTTAAGAAAGATGGATTTAATTAGGTTCTCTGAGGCTTTTATATCCAGCCCGACACCTAAACGTCGACAAAAGTAAACGTCGAAAACAGGACAAAGACATGGGGGGCTGAAGAAATGGCTCTGGACAGAAAAACTTGAGCACCCAATCATAATTGACTTCTCTGCTTCAGACTTTTTGTACCTTTGGAACTACATTTGTGAGCGTTACTCAATCTGAAAGTCCTCAGATGAAACGCAGCAGTCCAGTTTAAAATAAATCACCATGTTTGGGGTTAGGAGACAGTTTATTGGAGCAAGTGGAGGGCTTGTTCAGGAGTAGTTTGAGATTAGTGTGGTGTAGGTATAAAACCACCCAAAGTACAGGGCTCAGGCCATAATTTCAACCATATATCTGACCACGTAACCATTATATGGCTAAGTGGTCAGTCCAGAAGGGCTAGCTTGTACTTGATGTAAATATCCTCCACCCTTTTCATGTAATACAATTGAATCGAAACGCCTTCCAACACAAGAAAGTACAAACATATGGCAGTATGGGTCGCTTGAGGTGAAACTGCTGTCACAGCTGAAGGCAAAAGTTTCATGATTAGATTTGGTTCAAGAGAACTAATAGTTATGGTCTGTACACCGATGGCATCTGAGCTCCACATGTGAGTTTCTCTGTTTGCTGAAAGTGTCATTTTACAGAGGATCAGCCTTCTTTATCTTAATATCTTTTGAGCATCCCAACAGCGAGACATTAAAGCTGTTCCTTTTGTAGGTGTTATTTATTTGGCAGAACAAAAACATAAAACGGTAACTTGCATTTTTTTTGAAGACTCGGCTCAATTTGCGATGACCATTTAGCATCCCCGTTCAAACTGGTCTTTCCCACTCCTCATAATGTGACACAGTGTCAGATGTGTCCACAACCACCATGGTGTTTGTTTGCTGTGCTATAACTTTTACTGGGCAGTTAAAAGAAGTCTCCCCCCCAAAACTGGAGTAGTCATGTGATAGCTTATAAAAAACAGCTGCCATTTTTTGGCTGTTCTTGAGACAACACTGCATGAGTTTGGGCTTGAAACTCACTAATGCTCTTAAACAAAAAAATCTTCTTCATTATTGATGGATTTTTAACCGTTTCAATACTTAACGTGTCACGTTTTTAGTCAGGTATCACACTCGTAACGTTATCGATGTAGGTGTACAGCGTAGTTTTTTACTTCCAGAAAGGTCTACCTTAATGGTTTTTAACTTCACTCTAAAGTCATAATAACACTAAATTAAGGTCTAAAATGAATGCATTAATCTGTAGTCACAGTGACGGAAACGTGATGTTTGTAAAGGAATAGACCCCCCTGCACAAGAGTTTAAACCAGATTTTTTTTATATACATGACCACAATATGACAGTTTAGAAAATCCTCCCCATTTTGATTGGCCGTATGCAAAGAGTAGAGCATATGGATAGGCTGAAATAAGAAATGCACAGTTTGACATGATTAAAAACCAACACTTGAGAAGCAGTTTTGGGTGCTCATTTGGATCGGTTCCTATCTCAGTATAGTTTAAATAGCCCAAGTTAAAGGAAAGAACAAAAGTCAATGTTATTAAATAATGAAAAAAAATGTTGACATAAAGAGTATCTTAACATAGTCAATGAACATTTTCAACAGGATACTAGCAAATCAAATGATAGGCTATAGAAATAGGCTACTGACAGAAGTAGGGACCACCTGTTGAGTCGTCATGACTGTCAGACCCCTCTCGGAGGATCACGACCTCTCACAACAATGTCTTGCATTATGAAAAACCATACATTTCTCCTGATCTCTCTCAGAAATCGTTTGCTTTTCCCGCTCTGTCCCTCTCCTCCTCTCTTCAAACAGCAGACTCCATGTAAAACAATCCCGAACGGAAGAATTGTAGGCGTGAAACTTTCCCCTCAAACTTTTCCTCCCACCCACGGCCAATAACAGGGCCGCCTCTTATGAATGGACTCCTCTGATTTGCCTGAGTCTCCTGTCCACGGAGTGACTGACAGCCTGAAGTGGTGGTGGTGGGGGGGGAAGACTGGCTTTTTTTATATGTTGCCCCGTTGGACTTGAAGGGGCTGTACGTGACGACTGAAAGAGGGGGAAACACCGCGGTGCAGGACAGTTGAGAAGCGCAGAGAGGAGAGGAGCTGTGCGGGAGAGAGACGGGTGCACATCCGTCAGACTAGCCGGAGGAAAGCGCACCAACAAACCCCCTATGGCTGCTTGAGAAATACCGCTACACCCCCCCTCCCCCTTTTTTCTCTTTCTCTGGGACTTTTGGCTTTTAGTTTTTTTTTTATCCTGACCAGAAGTTTCTTTAGACAGGTCTTATTAGTTGCTCCAAGTTGAAGAAGTGAATCCACTTGCCGTGGACGTCTCTGGCGGTCATGGATACCCTTATAAGATGGAAAGTTAAACGGAGGATAAGGGACGCCCAAATCACTTTAGCGGTGATTCTGCTTTTTGTCACATCGCAAGCAAGTTCAGGTAAGATGCAGCTGGAGAGTTTTTTATTTTTTATTTTTTATTTTTTAGTTTAGAGCTGCTCTGCACTGAAAGTTTCTCTCCTTGGTTACTGTGATGTCTGCTCCTCCGCCTCCTCCTAAACTCATCTTTGTGCCTTTAGTGGTGCCCTAATGTATTCAGCTTGGTGTAGCCGAAACTGTGGGACTTGTCAAAGCATCAAAAGACTGCAAGTTTTGAGGAGAGAGGCTTTTCTTTTAAGAAAAGCTGGAACTGCTCAGTTTTCCTGGATTTGGAAAAAAAAAACTGGTCTGCAGTGACATTGTGCAAAAGTTGTGGCACTTTTGAAACATTTAATAACTACCAAACAGGGATGGAGGCCTGAATTTACATACTAATGCTTATTGTGGCTAAATAAATATGCTCAAGATGATAAAAAATACACTCTGCAAAGTGTAAAAACAAAAATTCATAGCCAGATGTTGCTTTTCATTTTGCAGATTTATTACCATGTTCTAATAGTAACTTTTCTAAAAGGTGCAGATAGTTGAAGTCAGTTTATTAAGGCTTTTTCCACAGCACTTTTTTTTAAAAGATTTTTTTTTAACTGATGAGAGGGATGAGCATAATTCTCATCAGAGGGAGGGGCTGTAGCTGCTCTGAAGTGGCAGGGTGGAGCCGCCTAAAGGACTCCAACATCAGGACTCACTGCTTTCAAGCAAGGAGCCCTTTGCCATAACTCCAAACGCCAAATATTTCCCTATTTTTACTCGACAAGTTCTTCTCACGCTGGCATGTGACAGTTATACAACTCCAAATGTGAAAAAATGAATGGAGTTTGGTATGTCAGTTAAACCCAGTCAACATACAGGAAAACATGACTTATTTAATCATTAGACGAGCTGTGTGGCACCGTTGTGCCCTCTGGGTGCTCAGAGGTCATGTGGAGCTATAGAAGTGGGGCTGGGGTCCGACTGCTTACAAGTATTATTAGCACCTTAAGGCTGCCTGGCATGGTTGGTGGTCTGCTGTGACACTCTGACACAGGACTTTGAGGCGAACAGGTGGCTTCTCCTGTCTGCTTCATGGACAGTCAGAAGGTGATCTAGATTATGCTGATGGCGTGAATGTGACCGAGCCAGATGCTTGATTTAAAACAGAAAAATGTGCAGTCGATGTGTTTTTTTTTTTTTTACAAGCTCACTGCAGAGGCAATACTGTTCAACATATAAAGGAAGCACTGCAGCCTGTTGTTTTCTGCGTTGCCTATAAACACTGGTTTGTTTAACAGTTTTATCAGGACCTGTATGATGGAAAGGGAGCTGGACTTTAGTTCTGCATGCTCATGATGCTGAAGGCTGGTTGTAATCAGCTCTTAATAAAACAGAGAAAAAGCAGAGTCTTTTACACGAGCGCCCAAGGTGTCAGTTCAAATCCTGATACTTGACACTTGACAAAAGCCAAACGGGAAATGCTTCATGATTAAGTGCTAGCAACAAGCCAAGTTTGTGTAAAATAATTATCTTGTTCTTGAAGTGTAAGATGTTGCTCCTATGAGCTTCTTTAAGCAGTGAATGTGGTAAAGTGTTGATATAATTGAGGTTTTTCATTAATATTCATTGGAATGTTTGATTATGGTTGAATATTAAAATGTTCTGTATCTTTCTCTTAACTTTATAGAAAAACGTTGTAGTCCCAGATATTTAGGCAGTTTGACAGCAGTAAAAGGATCATCTTGACCCAAACCAGATGACCTCTTAGCCTCAGGGAGGAGCTGGATGTAGGCCAATATTCACCTGAGAACTTGCATGGGCCTGCCCAGACCCAGCATCACTGCTTCTCTGGGACATGTCAACTTAAATCTCAATATGCCTGCATGAAAATGCAAGCTTTCGAATTATTTTGAGTAAAATGTTAATTCCTCCGAAATCCTCAGTTTATTTTGTTTCCATTCTGTACTTGTGAAAAATTGATATGATACACATTTAATACTTCATATTAAAATAGCCAAATGCTATATTACATTGTCTGACTTTTATATCACACTGAAATTGAAATAAAAAGTGGTGTGATAGCTGTAATAAAAAACTGCATGTAAAAGCAGTCAGTTTCAATCATTGAATGTATGGGTTGTAGCAAGATTGGAGGTATTATTTAGATGAATAGCATGCTAGTGAGGCAAAAGCTGCAACAGTCCCCGCTGAACTTGTTGCAATAATTGACTACAAATATGGCTGCCTATATAATTATTCTTTAAGCTGTAAATAGAAATTGACTTTTTTTATTGGCACAGATTTAGCACAATAGGTATGTTTAGCCTGAATGACCCTCTTGATCAAATATCTTTGAATATGTAAAATGAATATACATTGTTAAACAACTGTGGAGTAGACAGTCAGATCAGCTGTGATACTCTGCTACTGTACATGTGCTGCAGACAGTGCTGAGAGTCAAACCTTGGAGCACCCTCTGCTGGAAAAACTATGTGATGACAACATTTTATTAATCAGCCAATCTATAGTCTTAAGGATAACATGTTGTTTTTTTTATAGGAAATTATTTAAATTTAGCCAAAATGGCATCATCCGTGAAAATGCCCATATTCGTCCGATACCGGCTGACAAATTTAGCTTGCTAATTTGTCCATTGTGCTAACCAGCTAGCTAACTTTAGTCTGTTTGCTTTTGCTTGACTCAAAGTTGAGACGGTGAGAGTGAAAAAACAGTAAAATGGCAGTCTCTAAACCAAAATGTTTTCATGAAAATATTAATAATTTATCAAACACCTTTTTGGTGCTAACTAGGGAGGATGATGTTGTTTTATTGTTTAGTTCTCCAGTCGAGTTCGTCCTTACTTGTTAGCTTGCTAAACAGCTAGCATGTCAGCCTGAAATCTCATCATGAAATTCCATTTTTACAATGACATGGAATAGAATTAAACTATTAGTATTCTGAGCAAATATGTTTAGGGCATTGCTGTATATTTTTCAAAGTCTATACATTTGATTCTTTTTCCTTCACACTATAGAAACTATAAGAAGTCATGACAAGCGCCTTGGGTCATGCCGGATCAGCACACTGTGTGTAAGTCAAGCTTTATTAGACAGACTGAGTGAAGTCATTTTGCCATGGTTCTTAAGGGAGGTCATATTGCCCTGGCATTAATGAGGGAAGTATGCTTTAAACGCATGGTAACAACAGAAGGCTTATAAGACACAGAGGTTAAGAATGAGAAGAGGGGTCAGTGGTCAAGGGTGAAGGTCAGGACTTTGGGATTGCCGCTGCTATTAGGTTTACAGTTTCACTGCCTGAAGAAAGGAATTCTTGCTGTTTCACTCCTCCTTGTTTCATTCAAATTCCCACTGACTCCTGGAGGTTAAGGAGTTAAAAAAGGTGTGTATTTTTTATATAATGCGTCAGCATTTTAGGAGAATTGAGTGAAATATTTGACACATTTTGCACTCATTTCTCCTTTGCATTCTCTCACAATTAATCGCTTTAGATGCAGAATAAAAATTAAAAAAAAACACAAGATATAATTTAATTTGAGAGTCTTGCTAGTTGTATTTATAGACATGTGATTCAATTATATGAGTCTAATTGTAACTTAACACCCATCTACCCCTAATGGTTCCTCTTGAGATTCTGCTGAGTTGCCTTTTCTACTGAATTTTCTCAATCAGTGGAATCTTTTCACAGGTCTAAGAATATCTGTTTTGATTCTTTTTCACTGTGGTTTGTTGTCATTAATCAACCAGAAGTTTTAAGATGGTCTAAGTCAGTTACAAACATCCACACAGGAGCAGAACCTACTTTGGTGGAGTACTTAGGTCATCAGAAATACTGAAATAACATTCTTTGGATACCTTTTAAAAAGAAAACAGGGACAGATTTTGGCCAAAGAAGCAAAAGAAGACAATGTTAAAGGACCTGAGGATATGCTAAGGTATTAGAAAACAATGTCGTGATACAGGAACTAGGCCATATTTAAGGGTATGATATTTGTTTTATCCTTACGTACATTTTAAGGGGATAAACAGAAGAAGGCTTTGCTGTTTTACTGAGGACCTTCACATCTGGAATCGATAAGTTCCATTGTGCTGTCTGCTAGGGCCTCCAAAAAGCCAGAAAAAATGTCTTCCAGATGTTTTCTTCCCATTCGTGGTGGAACAGGGGACCATAAAAAAAAAAAAAAAAGAGCTATGCATTTTTTAAAAGAAAATACACCATTCTGCGCTGGTTTTTTAGAGAAGACTCCTAAATCGGATAACATCTGCAGCCATATAGCTCAGTTTGTTCAAATAATAGCAGTGTTTCAGCTAGGTTTGCACATAGCCTACACCTCCAGGGTCATTAAAAGGTTCTTTTTGTTTAAGCAAGCCAACTTTATGACAGGGTTAAAGGTCGGATACAGCTGGTCGGCAGCTGTTTTTCATTCACAACCTCTTTATATCTGGACAACAACGCCTCTAAAGGAATTCATATTGAAAATTATATTTTGAATCTGAAAAACGTCTAAAGTCAGGTTTTGTGAATCTGATTGAAACCAGTGTTAGCATTGAAATGCAATGAAACAAGGGCTTATGTCAATATCACCATAAAGCATAAAAAAACTCTCTTTAGCAGCTTTAAGTTTGCAATTTTGACCGTATTTTTTCACCCAAGCTTACACTCAAAAACAAAATTAAACATCATGTTGTATTAAAGAATGCTCGAAACTACACAGTGAGACTACAAAAGTATCAGGAAACATTTTACTTAATTAATAATTTAACTAAGAAGTCGGTTCATTTCGGCATCTGGTTCCACACGATCACACTAATTTTTGAAGCAGCCGTCTCCCCCTGCTGGCCATTATAAATAATGCAGTTTTAGGACATGTAGAGTCTATGTAATAAATACCCATTCATATGACTGAATAAAAGGGCAAAGATAAAGTTTGATACTTTGGCCTGTTAGTTCAAACACAGCTTGTTCAAATAAAAAATAAAACAAGACACAGTGACATCACATGCTCCAATTAGA